CTTCTTCGACTCCCCCCCACTCTTCTTCCCATTTCCTTTGCAGTTTTCATGTATATAATCATGTTTATTTAATATATTATTATTTTAAATATTATTACATGTTTTTAAAAATTAAACCACTAAGCACAATTTTATTTTTTTTTTTTAACTGAAAATAATCTCGGAATAAAACTACCAAACGCATTTTTAGAAATAATTCTAAAATGAAAATGAAAACGTTTTCGTTTTCATTTTCATACAGAAAACAAAATCATTTTGGAACGAGTTCCAAACACACCCATCAATGAGTTCGTTTTCATTTTCATACATAAAATAAAATTATTTTAGAACGAGTTTCAAACACACCCATCAATGAGGAGTACGTCCTTTTACCCAAGTGCTTGAGTTTGATGGAGACGCAAATACGATCACATATTTTTAATTCTTTTTTTTTTTTTTGCCGGATCAGAAAGACATAAATGTTGAGTTAACTTTATGAGACTTTTTTCAGTGAGTCGGTCTATCAATATGATCAGTTTTTAATTATTAAAATTAGTATCACATCATATTAAAAAAAATATGTAGAATTTATAATTTTTGATATAAATTTAACTGTTAAAAAATAAAAAATTATTAATAATTCATTTTTTTCAATCCTTTAATAGCGAAAGTATTTGTTTGAGTTTTTTTTTTTCTTCCTTTGGATTTTAAATTGTTGCTTTTAATACATGTTTCCACTTTGTTGAATTAAAAGTATTAGCTTTCATAAATGATTTAGTTACTTTCGATAAATTATTGATCGATCCTGGTAAATCATTGATTTATTACTCCTTGGTTTTTTAGAAAACGAACATTTTTTTTTTAATTTAACAAAACCAGAGACATTTAAACATATCCAATTTTTAAGGGAGAATGAGGTAGATAGTTTTTTTTTTTTTTTTTTTGTTACAAAATAAAAATAAATGGCAGAAACTTTGAATTAGTAAGCAACAGTATATTTGATATTTTTGTTTACCTCAGGACCAAATTTAGTAAATTCAATATTTGTTCCCATATCAAGTCTAATAAATTCAGGATTTACTAAACTTTAAAAAAAAAAAGAAGGATTTACCGGTTGGTGACTGCGAGCTAAAATGAGCATTAGTTCATTTTAACCGTCACTTATTCTATGAATTTCAATAGACTACCACACTCATTTTGTCTTGATCCGCAATCCATGACAACAAAGTTTTGGAGGGGCAAGGAACTCCTTACAAAATGTCTAAGGATAGGGTTGGGTCATCATTTCTAAACTCTTTGGTGACCCTGTCCCTTGGTTGCCAAGACCCGGTTCCTTTAAACCTATTACTCATTGTGAAGAGTTTTGGCTCGATTTGACTCAATCTGAGTGGTGAATCAAGTTCGAATTCGTGTTTGGTAAACATGCAATCCGAAGTATATCCCTGTTTCTAAAGCAGTTAGCTCTCCTCCCTCAATTTCAACCGTTCAAACCATTTTTAAATAGTAAATAGGTGACAATTCTCTATACTTTTCATACTTATCAAATACAAATTCATATTTTATTTCCTGTTTAGATTTCAACTTTAACTACACATCTAAATGCCAATTCATATTACATTATAAACTACGTAATTCAGATTTTTTTTCTAATTAAAATGTTCAAATCAAACACAATTTAAACCAACGATCCGAACAAGGGCATAGAAAAGGTTTCTAGACGGTTTGGTTGGAGTATCATTTGGCTATATAAGAAACTAATATTGAAGATAGCACTGATTCAAATATCTTTTCTACTTGGCAGAAATGATTTTTAAGCTCTCACAAAAAGTCACATCTAATTTTTTTGCTGCAGTTAAAAGCTCTCACATAAAGTCACATATTAGTTCGAATTGAAAACTCTTCAACTCGAATCAGCGAACTGAACGAGGTATAAGTTTTTGCCACGTTCCTGATGTTATTGAGTCGGACGTCTAGGATTTTTTTTTTTTTTAATCTGAAGAGTCGGACGTCTAGTTGCAATTCTGAGTTGACTTGGGAGATTTCCAGATGGTATTGCCAACTTTGTTGCAGCTGATGCTGCCTGTATTTAATTTTTTAATGCAATCAATAAAAAAAAAAAAAAGACGGATTTTGATAAAAACAAAGGTATATTTTTGTACATATTCCTTTTCTAAAAAGGATGGACAAATTTCTTGTAGAAACCGGGGCCAATTTGGACGTAGTATTTGAGCTTCCAATTGGATACCTTTTGAAGCACGCTACTCTCAACTTTGAAAATCATGGTACGCGTTTGAAAATCGAAAAAAAAAGAACGAAAGGAAGCTAGTAACGAAAGTTCTTGGCAATAAAAGCTAGCAAAGAAAATTGTTTACTCTTTTTTGTTTTTGTTATTTCCACTACTTCCTAACAGCTTGACAAATGGATTCTCTGGTGGCTGAAAAAGGAAGTCAAATCGTGCCTTATTAAAATTCTACAGCAAAAAGAAAATTAATAATAGAAGAATGCTATTTATCACCATTAATACATCAACACTAGTTTTTCAATAAAATTGACATTTAAGGCTGCTTTTTAATAAGTGGGTTTCAGAGTTAATTATGAGGTTGTCTTCAGTTCAGAAGGGAAATTATTCAAGTTTCAACTATTATTGGTTTCTTCTATTGTTGCTTGGGCTTTTTGGTTTGTGCACAAATATTGATGGGCTTCTTTTTCTTTATTTGGTTTGTTCAGAATTTGGTCTCTTCATATTTGTTCTGCAAAATGGTCTCTCTTTTTTTTTATAAAAAAAAAAAAAACTCTAGTTATAGATTTGAAGCTGCTCTTTGATAAATGCCTCTTTTTTAGATTTGGAGTTACTCATAATTGTTCTCAGATCATTATTTTTTCATATTTTGGTAAACTTTGAACAATAATTTTCTGTCAGATTTAGGTTTTTCAGTAATTGTCTATAGAAAATGATTTTTTTTATATCTGGGTAAGCTTTAGATAGTGATTTTTCATATGCGCAGTTGTTTTTCGGCCAAAAAAAAAAAAAAAAAAGAGGTCGTTAATTGTAGTTTATACATTTAAGAAAGTTGCACCTTGAAATTGATTAACACTGAGAACATCTCATGAAAAACAGAAGAAAAAACTCAGCCTAAAGTTTAAAGAACATTCATGCTAGTTGATTATGTAATTTGACTTTTTCATTAAGGGTATTTTTGTCAAAACACAATCAATATCATTTCATTCTGAAGTCATTTCATAACTCCAACCAAACAAAAAATTAATTTTTGTTTCCGGTGCATACCTTTTTCGTTCTATTTCCATTACTGTTACCATTCCGTCACTGCAATCAAACGCACCCTAAGTGTTTAACTTCTCGAGCTAATACTTTTGCGTGTATTGATGCAAAGAAGAGCAAGAGAAATAGATAAAAAAAACATTAGTTTTTTACATGGTTTTTCTTGCAATAATAATATCCAAGTGCGTCTAACAACCAAAAAATCAAGAACAATAAGGCCGGTATAATGTATATTCAGAAGAGATCAAGTTTACTAACTGATCCGTCAGTTTTCTAATCTTATCATTGTTTTTAACACATTGGTTCCTGATATCACGTAACCACAACACTGTCATATATTGTATGAAAATTTGAAGAAGAAAAGAAAGAAAGAGAAGAATAAAGACATTATAAACTCAAAATCATAGAGCAAGCAGCACAGAAAATTGCAGCAAGGAAAACACTCCCAATTCAGCAGCGCCAACAGACAAATCTAAAGTCTCGTTCATTTTACCGATTTGAATTTTCAATTTTAGGTTTTTACAATTAAAAACTCTTAAAAATGTCACATCTAACCTTTTCTGTTACAATTAAAAACTTTTAGAAAATATCACATCTCAACTCGAATCTATAAAATGAATGAGACCTAAATCTACTTTATTTAAAATATTATCGAACAACCCGGTACGAAATTCAAGGTTAGGAACAAAAAAGAAAAGCAACATACTCAGCAACAAAAATACTTTCTATCACTCAGGTCAAAGCATATATTTAAATTTTCCATCACAGTTAAAACTGACCTTTGATCCCAGAAAACACAGATGCACTTTAGAAACGAATTTACGGAGTAAAGTTACTAGTAAATCTTGGTATCACTTCGCTAATATATTTCCACAATTAATTCTCTGAACTCCATTGAACTTGCACTAACATAGAGAAAAATTCCACAGGCCAAATTATCATTTGCAATCTTCAACATAATGGATCATATACTATATCATTCCCTTTTTTACCATGCACGTCTTTTTATATTTATCACCTCAAGCCATAACATAAGACTATATCTTAACGCCGCAAAATAATGTATAGTAAAATGACTCAAGAAGACTGCAGGGCAGCTATAAAAATTAGAAATCTATTCTACAAACTATCATATGACTATTTTTTTTTTCTTTTCCGTCTTCATTTTACATGTTGAGAGGTCTCTAAAATTCGCACTTCAAGTTTTCAGCGGCCCAAAAACTAAGAAATAGTTTTAAAAAATAGTTCACAAGTAACTACAGACTGTGACACTAAAAAAATAAAATTCAATTGGCAGTTTAGCAGTTAATGAAGCAAAGAATCATTGGATTTTAGCTGATCAAACAAGATAATGACATAATGTTTCACTGAACAAAACAAGTTCTACTATGACAATTCCTTTCACAAGCAAGTTATATGAAGAAAAAATTTACTTCAAACTATGAACTAATACAACATAATGCAAAAATACAAGAATTTCTCTATCAGAAAACCTAGGTACTTTGATGTCTGTAATCCTACCTCCTTTCATGTTACAGCTCCTGTCCAATTGTCCAGATGAGTCGTCTGATCTTCACTACGTTGTCTACTGTGAAACTTGTACAAGAAAATTATAGGATAGCGGGCTCCAACCACGTCCGCAGTTCAAAACAACTGCACTATGGGTGTCAACAAAATAAAAAGTAAAAACAAAAGAACAAGAAATGGACTGTAACAGCCAACGAGATTTACTCCACAAGTTGAGTCTTGGCTTCATATTTTCTCGGAAGGAGCTCGTATCAAGAAGTTGAACCGCGCTCACAAGCAAGCACAGAGCTCCAAGACATAGCAATGTGGTGACAACTATTGATCCCTCCATCTCGGACTTGAGATGGGAAAAAACCCGGAAGGAGACAATGGAAAACCAAGCCCAGGAGAAGGCGGCGGTTGGGGTCCTGGACCTAAAATCCCTGATTGGGCCATGGGGCTGAATGAAAAATTGGGGGTCATTGGAGGAAACTGAATCCCGGGGGAAAGCAACAGGTAAGGAGAACGCGGCGACAGCAAATTGAAATAACCAGTAGGGGAGGGCAGTAGAAACTGCGAAGTTGGAGAAGGCAAAATGGCTGGGCCGCCAGCTTGCGGCGAAGGCAAATTAGGCACTGGTGGTGGCAGAGGCGGTGGCACGGGCCCAGTCATTCTCTGGGAAGGGAAAGCAGGCGGCATGGAGGGGTTAGGAAGTAACCCCGGTGGCTGAGCGTGAGGTTGACCTGGAGGTTGTGGTTGTGGATGTGGATATGGATGTGGCTGAGGGTGAGGATAAGGATAAGGATGAGGTTGGCCTTGGTTTGCCCTAGGAGATGGATCCATGATGGAATTCTGAAGGTATCTCATGTAAGCTGTGATGGGAGATTCGGCTGTATTAGGCCAAGCCGAGTCGCCAAACTGAACAGGCCTAACAAAGTTGTTGTAAGGAACTGGTGGTGGGGCAACCGGGACAGGAGCAGGAGGAATAAGGGGCGGTCGATTGATCGGTGTTAAAGGCGGAGGCCGAATCTTTTGCAGCCGCATACTCTGGGGTTTGGGCGGGTTTTGTGGAGGTCTAGGCAAAGGCTCTTGTGATGGCGAACCGGTTAGCTGTTGTACAATGTTGCGGAAATCATTCTTACTTATGTTGTAAACCTGAGGCTGAGGTTGTTGCCTAGCAGGATTGTTGTTATAGTTGGGTTGGTGCAGTGGACTCTTCCTTATGTTCTTCCCCATTTTATTCACACCCAAGTGATCATGCCGGTTTTTCGAGTTATCCATTTCGATAAGTTCTCAACTGAATTTCACAACAAAACACACCACTTTCTCTCTTATCCCTGGCAAATTCAAACCATTCAACTTCAAATTTCGAGATCACCAGCAACTTGAATCTAAATTTAAAGTTTTCTCCAAATACCCAGAAAGTCAAACCACTTTCAGGACATCAATAGAAACCCCCAGAAGTTCAAAATTCAATCTCAAGCAAACCCCAGATTCTTTTTTTTTCTCAGAAAACGATCAAAGAACGCAACGCATCAAATTGCCAATAAATGCCACAACATCAAAGAATTCATGAAGCAGACGACGTACCCTTTTCTTTGTTCAGCCGAAACCGAAAATCCCAGATGGAAATCAACTCAAAAATGCCCTTAAAATCCAAAAGAGGCCCAGATTCCAGAGTCAGCAAAGCCACAAATCCCAAATCTCAAAAAAAGTTCCAAAACGAAGATAGACCCAGAAAGAAACAAAGCTCCAAAATCCGAAAAACAATATTTGATCCCAGAAACAACTAGGGTCCAAAAAACCCAAACCAAAAAAAATCCCTCTTTGTTCACCAACAAGAAAAGAAGGAAGTAAACGGCAAGAAACAAAAAAAAAGAATAATAATAATAACGAAAAAGAAGAAGAAAAAAATGGCAAAGAGAAAATCACGGCTTGACTTGAGGAAAGTAATAGTAGTCCACCACAAGGATCTTCTTCTTCTTCTATACTCCTAATCTCAAGGCGATTGAGAAAGGGGAATTGAGATTGAGGAAGATTTTACTTTATAGCCCTAATCTAATCTAAAACAAGGTAGAGAAGAAGGAAAGAAAGAAAGAGCAAAGAAACGGCGAGAGAGTACTTATATTATAATAAGGGAAAGGGGAAAATGAAAAATGTGGGTCAATGCGAAAATGAAGAGAAGGAAGGGTGAAAATTCGGGAGAGAGAGAGAGAGAGAGAGAGAGAGAGAGAGAGAGAGAGAGAGAGAGAGGGTGGTCCGTGTACGGGGGGAGGAGCGTTCGCGGTTCGGGTGTGCGACGTGTGTGTTTGTGTGGGACCCAGTTGAAGAAATAGGACAAGAACAATTTAGGAGAGAGAGAGAGAGCCAACTCAGTCAAACATTTACGGAATGGACGCCCATGTTTCCTAGTTTCTACTCTCTTTTCGTCTGTGCGTTTTTGGTAAGTCTTGCCCGAGGATATGAAAAATTAAAAGATGTTTATAAAATAGATTAAAATTATAAGGTTAAAATTATTTTTAATTTATGTGTATTTTTTATAAAAAAAATTATAATAAATTATAAATTATAATTTAAATTATGACATAAATCTCATTATCATACACGTTTTTTATAAGATATTGTGATGGCCGATGAACTTATGGTTATTAAATATTAGATGCAAGGTTTTTTTTTTTTTTTTTTTTTTTTTTTTTTTTTTTTTTTTTACTCTCATCCAAAAAGGATTAGTGGTGATCTCTTATATCCCAGGGATGCTTATTTAGTAATTTATTGGGATCGTAAGTAGAATTGAAAAGGAATTTAGCTCGTGTTTTGGTAATTAGCGTTGAGAGAGTCCAAAATCACTCAGTATTCATATTCGGTAGGCTCACGAAATGGATAATCTCAATACAGACGATGAGAATCAATCACCAAATGTTATGTGAAAGAATTCTAATAGTTCGTCACTCACTCGTATACCACCATCATTAATGATTGCAGGTTTATTGTTATTGGAGTATGGATGTAAGTTTAAGCATAAAATGCGCCGTTTTATTTAATATGGATAAATGCATGAATTCAACTCCTAAATTTGATCTTTGTCAGTGGATGTTTTTTTGACGTGATTTGTAAAATATAAAAGTATAATTGCCTTTTGCATAAACACGGTCTAAATCAACATTTCATTGAAACACGGAGAATGTTTATGTGAAATTTTTATGATAATACCTGAAAATATGAATTAGCGATAGGTTTTTGTTTTCACATGTTAGATTTTTATTATAAACTATTTGTTATGTACATTTTTTTTATTTTAATATGATAATAATTAGATCTAAAGATAAAAAATGTTGGAATTATCTCCAATCCGGTATCGAATTAGAGCGGCACATGTGTATTTTCTTTAAAAATATGTATATTTCTTCTTAAAACATGTATATTTTCTTTTAAAATATATATAATATAGGGAGACACCTATAATTTGTATAAACACCTATATATATATTTTAAAAATACACATATGCCGAACAGAAAATATATATATATATATCGCTCTAATTCGGTACCGGATTGGAGATTTTACCAAAAAAATGTATACTACTCTTTGAGGTCCTATTTAAAAGGACTCATTTTTTTATTTCTACAAATGCACTCTCGCTGCTACTGTCAAATCCATAGAAGGGAGAGATTACAGGCATGTTTAGTTCGTTGATTCGACTTTTTAATTCGAGTTGAAATGTGATTTTATGTGAGAGCTTTTTACTGTAGTAAAAAAGTTAGATGTAACTGTTTCTGATAGCTTTTTACTGTAACGAAACTCGAATCAGTGAAATAAACGAGACCGACATGCACAAGTTACAAATCCAAAGAAATAAGATCAAAGTATAACAAAAAAAATTTTCCACTTTTTTCACCTTTGTAATAATACCCAAGCTTGATGATGATCAGTTGACTGGTCGATTTAGCTAAATCTTTAAAATGCTCCCGGCAAGACGGTGGAGGCTCTCATATTTTTGTATGCAATGATAAAATATCATGCTAGATATAGACGTAACGTTGACGCAAACAACCACATATTATTTCTTATTATTTTTTTGAAAAAAAATACAATAACTTTCTTAATTTAAAATTTTCATTTGCTTCAAAGTAAAGTACTCAACAAGTTCTTCAAAGCATAAGAAAAAGAAAACGGAAAGCCAAAGGAAAATACAAGGCTCTTTTGCATGGATACTCTATAATTAAAGAATTTTACTTTACTTTCTTTTGTGAATTTCGTTCAAATGCTTCCCTAAAATTTATATATGGTACAATTATTATATTTCGTCAACTTATGCACGTTAAGATTCCATACCATTTCAATCTTTATATTGTTAGAATATTTTTATGTAGAATTCTATAATCATAATAATTTACTCTAATTTGTTATTAAAGCATTTTATAGATAATTTTGTTTTTATAAATTTAATTAAGCGTGTTTGTTAAATTTCAGTCCATAATAGGATGGACACTCAGCTTGTTAATTAGTTTGAGGCTTACGAATTCCCTTTTTAATAAATATTTTGATTAGCACATTAGATCAAATAACCTCTCAATACAATTAAAATAAGCACTATAGGCCAACTAAAGTGTGAGTTCAAAATAAGAAATGTTGTTACTAATATATTTTGGGGTGTGGCTATTTTGTGGCGTGCTTGGAATTGTATGGTAAAGGGAGAGGAGGAGAATTCATTGAACTATTTTTTATTTTTAACACTATTTTTTATTTTTATTTATTTTTATATTTTAAATAGTTGTACAATTTATATTTATTATTTTAGTACCCAATTATTACACAAATATTCTAATTATGATTAATTTTAATATAATAAGTACACTATATTTTTTAAATTGAAAATATCAAATTGATTTAAAGGGTATATTAATACTTTTATACTTTTTTCATTCCGATTCTAGGTGTAAGTAAACGTATGAATGAGATTTGAAATAACTCCGATTCCGAATCCTATCACTAAGTAAACAGCTTATTCTGACTCCGATTCCTCACTCCGAATCCTACCCATTCCGAATTCTACGTACTCCGATTCATGCTCATTCTGATTACGTGTAAGTAAACATACCATTGGCAATTTCTGACAAAATTCCAACGGCCCACCAATACTACTATGAGGTAACTCACTTATACATGCTTCAATTCTCAATTGGTTAAATGTTTAGTTTCAACATATATAATTATAGTATAGCGTTGTGGTCCAAAATTATGTAGTACTAAATACTAGTAGGGTTTTTTTTTTTTTTTTTTTTTTTTTCACTTGACTGTGTAATTGTTTATATTTAAATGATTAAATTCTGGCGATTTTTGTTTTGTTTTGTTTTTGTTTTGTTTTGAATAACCAATCCATTTCTGAGTTGACAAAGAATGCATGGTGTACCTACGGACTGGTTATTCGATTAATTATGTCAACAAAGAAATTCTCAAGCTTAAATATTAATCATTAATTATAAACTCAATTAAAGCTAAAACAACTAAAGACCGTCAAAGAAGACCGTGTAGACGTGTAGTGTGTTTTGAAACCTTTTTAAAGTTATTACTTATTCGAGTACGACAAGGGAGATATACCTAGATTTTTATTTACTTATTTTCCTTCGTTTTCCCCTTTCAAGTGGATATAGTTAGATTATGGACTTGGGTTGGCTGCTATCTCTCTATTTTCAATGGCTAAAAACGTGCAGTGTGTTTAGAACTCATTTTAAAATAATTTTTTTTTATATAAAAATGAAAACGAAAATATTTTCAATCTCAGACAGAAATTATTTTTAAAAATGCGTTTGATAGTTTTATTAAGAGATTGTTTTTAGTATGAAAAAATCCATTAATATTTCTCTCCCTGATCGAGAGATGAGAAAACGGAAACAAAAAATGAAAAACGACTAAAAGTCGTTTTTCATTTCTCTCCCATTTTAGACTAAACTAAAAAATTATTTTCATTTTCGTTTTTTATCTTTAATTGTGTCAAACGTCGTTTCTCTCCCGCTTTCTTTTTTCTTTCTCAAAAAATGTGAAAAACAAAAATAAAATCAACTCTAAACACAACCGTGGTCTTTTCTTCTCCCCCTCTTTTGTAAGCGCTAAAAAGATAAAGTTATTAGTTAAGTAAGGCAACAAATCACAAACTAAGTAACAAACATGCTTCTTTTTTCAGTTTTTTTTTTTTTTTTTTTTTTTTTTTTTTTTTTTTTTTTTTTTTTTTTTGCGGCAGCCAGCCTCTTGAATTGAATCCTTTTAAAGTTGAAAAATGTTAGTATCACTCCTTTTATCATTTTCTTTATCACTATGTACGTTCATTATTTGACATGTGGACTTTACTATATTATTTTCAGTTGAAATAATAATATATCACATAAATAAAGTTCAAAATGCATATAAAATGTTCAAAATGCACATAAAATGTTCAAAATGCACGTTCTCTACGATACAACACTAGATCAAAATCTAATTTTTCCAACTTAAAAAAGAAGTGTAATAAAATAAAGAAGCAAGGGTAATGTTATGTGAATTGAATTCGATTAAGAAAATTGGCCTATTTATAACCTAATGCAGCAAAGATTGCCCGTTGAAAAAAAAAAAAAAAAAACAATATACGTAACGCTCGATTTCAATTGTGAGTTTTGGAAATGTCGTTTGAATCGAATCCGATTAGTTGATTTCATTCAAAATTATACATTAGAAAGATAATTGAAACGAAGCGAGTATACCCTAATCAAATTTAATTACCCACCACTCTTTATTAATTACCTAAATAAGAGTGTTTGGAAAAATCACCAAATATCGAAGCTGTCTAATCCAAATCAAATCGAATTAAATCATTAATTAATTTTAGAGCATGTGTGGTAAAAGAATTTGAATCACAGTTCAAACGGTTCCGTTACAGTGTTTTCTCTTAAAAAAATTAAATTTTAATTGAAATCATTTTATTTAAACTCATAAACCAAATATATTATTAGGCGTTTTCGGTGATTTTTTACATTGATGTTAGCGGGTGGTTAGGTTAGTGGTTTTGCCTTCCTAAACTGTCCAAAAGTGCATCTATCCAAAATTTATTTTAAAATATTGTATCTTATTTTCTATTGGTCATAAACGAAAGTTATCTTCTCAAGTAAAATACACCCTACTAGATCCAGTAACTAAACTTAATACTCTCCTTTTATCGATCAAGTATTAATAGTACATAATAAAATCCTAGCCTCCTCTCATCCTCTCTCCTCTCCCTTTCCTATATGTGAAATTTTGAAATTTTTTTTAGAGTAATTTTGGTAGGACCCAAAAAAAATAAATTATTGACAGTTCTTTACATTTTAACCATAAGTTATATATCATAAATTATATATTATGTATATTTTTTTAATCTAATGTGATTTTGATCATATTTAACTATCAAAAACTGACCCTACTGGTAAAGTAGCCTACCGAAGAAAGTCTAAATATTTTTTAATCTTAAGCTTAAACTGTCAAAACTATTTATGACTAATTTAGTTTAATTTGACTTTTGTCATAAATATCAAATTGCCTAAACAACTCAAAAAAATATTTTTAATTTAATCGATGAGTAATCTAAACGGCCCAAACAACTAAAAAAAGATTTTATTTTTAATTTAATCTGTGGTTTTAAGGGAAATTTTTTTTTTTTTGGAACCGTCCGGAACTCCTTAAACTCTTTAAACCAATTTAGGCTTCATAATTAACAAAATTTGGTGTAACCGATGAGAAATAACTTAGGAGACGTTTGGTTCATGGATTAGAACCATGTGATTAAAATTATTTTTGATTTACGTGTATTTTTTGTGAGAGAAAATACTGTAGCGAACCACGAACTATGATTCGAATCAGGCAACGAATCTAAGTACCAAACATCCCCTTAATTTAACATGCGACAACTTACATCAATCTCAAATACGATAATGAAAAATTCAGGGGTTGTCCAAGATCGATTAATTTTGATCAAGTATAAAGTTTGGAGTAAACTATTAAATGCTTCAAGAAGTCTCGAAAAAAAAAAAAAAAAGGAATTAGGAAAAAATGTGGGGTGAGAGAGGCTCGAACTCTCGACCTCAGGATAACTCTAAAGCTATGAGACCTACGCGCTAGCCAACTGCGCCACCACCCCGTTACTATGTTTTTGTTCCAAACATTTTTTATTTATACAAAAAAGATGTATTAGAATGCCACAGACATGGCCGTACAAAGTGCGAGGCTCCTGGGCTCGTGTCTCGTCGCACACAATCAATGTTCATATATTCTTCTTCTTCTCTTTCTTCTTCTTACAAATGCCAGTTTTGTTCTCGATTTATACATTCTCTTTGTATTTCTCTGCATAGAAAATTTCCAATCTAACCATAAAGGAGCTTCTTTGGACGATGGCAAACATTTTCTCTCCCTTCTTTCAAGGTATTTTTCATTCTTTCATTTCTTTTCATCATTGCCTTTTTTTGCTCTCCCCAAAAATCTGCACTTTCGGTTCTCTCTCTCTAGATTTCTGTCTCAAATTTATTTTTCTGCTCTTGACAATAGAAAAAAATGGAACTTAATTGCAAACAAGCCCAAAAAAAGCCAATATAGTTGTTTTATTTGTTTTCCTTTTGGGTAAAATTGAACCCCACGATTGTTAATCAAATAAATGCCGACCCTATTATTTTGTTTTTCTTAATTGAGTTTCAGTAATGCAGTTATTGCCAAAAAAAAAAACGATGAAGAAAAAAAAAATAAGGGTCTCTATATTGTTCTGAACTGGTATTTTCTTTGCTATCTATATTGAAATCATCGCATACTAAAGAATCACATTTACTGCTGCTTTAATCATAAAGAAGAGTACTTATGCGAAACAATATATAATTATAATGTAATTTATGGGCTATTGTACAAATTTATCAAGACCTGTTTTTTATTGTAAGGAAAATCTTTGACATGTAGCTAAAATGAGAATGTGAAATGGATTTCCTTTGAGGGCAAGTTATTTGATAAATTGACACTTAAGATTTCTTTCCTTGTTGATTGAAACTTTGATTGGCTCGTGGGTTTTGGCTATTAGCGGCTATAGATTAAGAAGTTTTTCAGTTGGGTTATAACTAGGAAAACTAGTTGTTCTTGGTGAATAGTTTGAAATTTTGTATCGGTAATTAATGCAATTATGTATGATAGAGACATAGGTCGTCACTGGTTTAGTTGTTTTTTAGCTGGTGTAACTAATGACTCAATTACGCATAACAAGTTGTTAATGATGAATAATGATTTTGCAGGCTTAAAGGGCTGCAAAAGCTGAGAATGGATATAAAACTTGCTGCTCTATCTTGAATGTATAGATATTGAAAGCTTTTTCCAAGGGTATGAACCCTGTTCTGCCTTTTCTTCTCTCTCTCTCTTTTGTTTTTTTTTTTTTGCGCATCTGTTAAGTGACAATTTGTAGGCTTTAATCATAGTCTTAGGCAAGCTATTATACTTATGAGCTTCGATTTTTAATCTATTCATGAGTCAAATTGCGGCTGTATCAAAGTTAAGAAATACCTTTGATAAGTGATGTTTTGCTTCAAGACAAAATTATACATCAATTGTAGATTTATCAACGTTAAGAAACGCCTTGATAAGCAGTTTTTTGTTTCGCGATAAAATTATATGATACGTTCCAACAGAAAGAGAATTGTGAAGTAGACTATAATATGCTATGTTCCATTCTATTAATTCTGTTTTCTCCAAATATCATGTCGAGAATATGATCTTTTGATGCCTTTAAGATTGATCAATCATACAGAGTAGGAGTAGAATTCAAGGTTATGTTAGGGGAAAAGTTATTTCACTGAAATGGTATACTTAATCGGTTTAATTAAACATCTTTATGTGATGAAGATAATGGTAGGATTAGTAACTGCATCTAGGGTCAAACCTGTGACAACATATTTACAATATGAGATTATGAGCTAATCTTAATAAGATAGGTTATAATGTCCACCTTTATAGATGCTGTTCAAATTTCCCACCGACCTTTTAGGGTCAAACCTGCGGCCTCTAAGTCTTGCTTCTCCTATGTGTTCACATTCCAGGGAAGTTTTTGTAGATTTAAGAAAGATAAAGTAAGAAACAACCTCAAGGGGGCAGCGGTGAATCATTTGGACTTAGTGCCTCAGGAAGCATTAGGTCTAAGGTTCAATTGCCATCGAGTGTTATCAATTCTTTGGGCCCACGCCTGCGGGCCAAAGGCCTGAGATTTATCCGATCCATGTCGATGGGCCGCTTTGCATGGATCCTGTGGATTAGTCAGGGCAAAGTCTCGGACACCACAGTATCAAAAAAAAAAAAAAAGAAAAGATATTAATTAAGAAACAGAAACTTTTCTAAAGGAGTATCACATATTGATTTAGAGCATAAAACATATTTGTGTGTCTTCTTACAGAAAGAGTATATATGTGTGTGTGTGTGTGTGTGTGTGTTTCTTTTCACTGCAATAAAATTAGGAACAAATCATTTGTAAAGATATCATGTCGAAAAGTGTTACGGTGCTCTTTATCGAGGATCTCTACTTTTATCCTCTGACTTGTATACAAGAAGGCATAAAGATAAATATTAAACCTCACAGGAAGACATGCTACGCTACAGATTGCAGTGGTTGTAATGTGGAAATGAACCTCTGTGTTACTTTTGAAGGCACACTTTAGGAAGTTATGTATTGAATTCTTTTTATTTTCCGTATGAGTAATGTTTTCTAATACCAACTTTTTGCTGCAGTTTTTTAATTTTGTTGAGGGTGGAAGTTGTATTCCTCTACCAGCAAATTAAATATCCTACTTCTGAAATTGAGGAGTTTTCATCAACTATTAAGAAGCTTAGTTTCGATGGTAAGAAACATGGTCTGCATTTTTCACATGTTGAAACATTTGCGAAGACTTTATTTTCAGTTTCCGTTTTGCTAAATTTTATCCTCACAGGTGCTGGCTTTATAATCCGCAATGGAAAACGGACAGAGTGTGAGTTCTTGTCAGATGCAAGGTAATTTAAGCGTGGAACTAGTTGGTCAAAGAGAACACTCCATAACTCATAATGACATTATGACACGTCGCATGAAGAACCGAGAAAGGCAGCGTAGATATAGAGCTCGGAAGCGTCTCGAAGCAGATTTACAGAAGTCCAATATCATAGAACAGCCAACTTCGCAAGTCAAAGAAGTGCAACCCAACAGCGTCGTTAGCAAGCATTGCAGAAGGGATTGGAAAAAAGATGCGAGAAGGGCTCACGTTTTGAAGAATCCAGATGCGTCTCCTAATGGTAGTGCAATAATTATTCCGGTTCTGAGCAGCGAGAGTCAGACCTTGGGCTTGTCCTCTGGGACTGAGGCAGAGTTTCCAGTACAAAGGGAATCACACCCGGAAACGTCTCTCGACATTGTTAACCATCTAATGCATAGAACTGCAACTGGTCGAAGAGATTGGAAAGCGGAAGCAAGAAAGAAGAAAACTTAAAGTGGGCAACCTCCGATGATCCTGATATTGCGATTCTGATGGCATGGTAAGTAGATTAGGTATGATTTTTGGGAATGCTTTGCTTTCTTTTCAGTTTCTCTGTAGGTTTGGAACTTCTGATGTTGCAGATGTATGTGTAATTAAGGAATATGTGCAGAGAAAGAAAATGTTGAGATTTTTTAGACGCTCAGTTTTCATAGCTTGGAGCATAACAATCTAACTACGCGGAAAGACAATCTTAGGCTGTGGTAAGCGTTCATTTACAAAAATGGGGCCAGTGGTAGAAGATTACAATTTTATATGGCAATACTGAAACATTGTACTATATAACAATGTAACGTTTTGCCATCATATACTTTATCTCTAGATGTTTATGTTACATTATTTTGTTACACGTGCTTCATCATTTTCATAAGAAAAGCTAGAAAATTTATCCTTAGAGTATGAGTTTGGATTTTTATCTCGTACTCTTAATAAATATCTTTTTATTAATATAATTATTTGGCTAAAAAAATTATAAATAAAGAGTAAAGAATAAAAATTTTGATCCATACATTTTTATTGGATATTTATCAAAATTATCATATTCATAATGCATGCCGGGTCTAGCATAGCACCAGTGGATCACGGCCCATGATAAAAGGACTTTGGTTAGAATTCTTCCCCAAAAACTAGTTAAGTGGAGAGCGTACCAGTCCACACATAATCATCATAATGAAGCCCAATATCTAAGATGTTGGACAAATTCGACTTCTAACACCCTACTCAAAGAATTTCAAATTTATCCTCTTTATTCCTTTAGTTTTGTTAGTTTGCCCCCACTTAGATATTATTCTAACTGTGCCCCATTCAATGGGATTACTGTTATCTTTTTTCCTAATACCCTAGTTATTGCCGGTTTCTCTTTTTCTGCACTTTTGTTTTCACTAATCGTTATCAAAAGATTAGTTTGTTTACAAGGATTTATTGGCTTTAAAATGATAGATTGTTAAACATAAATGATAGTGTAAAGGTCACAAACATTGTCACAAAACATGTGCTAAAAACTCTAATTTTCAACTGTAATCCTAATGTTTGAGATAAAATTGGAAAACTATATTTGTACATATGCAATATTTTTAAGTGCGGAGTATGAGAGTTTAACATTTTGGTTCTTAAACTTTTAATTTTAGCATCTTAGTCTTCAAAATTTTCATTTTTGACGCTTTTAGTGTCTGATATCAAAATTGCTGAACAATTTATGAAATTTAACAAAGATTATTAGTACTACGCAAAGAAAGTTGATAAAGTTGTACCCGTATAGCAACCTAGCTAGAAAATTTATTAAGGGTTAATTTATAATATTGTTGAACTAGTTGAACAGTTGCTTCTATATATTCCACCAAAACGAACAAAAAGTAAAGAAAAAGAAATAATATCACCAAATTGTTCTCTCCATAGATTAGTCTACGATCATCTAACAATTGTCATTTAATTTCCGGTACCTCGTTTAGGCTAATGTTCTCCAAATTAATACAACTCCGATCTGATGTGTATATACGTTTCAAGCATGTCTTCAAAAGCAACACGTTTCCGAGAATAATATATTGAGTTCTACATAGACTCTTACTAAGGCATGATTATCCTTGGTCTTTATCCGTTCGTATGATATTAAAAAAATAAAAATCTCTCTCTCTCACAAGGTTTGGCTACCAGAAAAATGTAACTATTAGGTTTGGTCTTTATCCACAAAGTTCGTTTTACTTTTAATTTAAATTTTCAGTTCTTTGAAATTCACATTGAATTTTATTCTATTGTTCAGTACATTATTATTCTTCTTTTACTTTCTCCACATAGATGCTCTTTAGCTGAGCAATAAGAGATAAGAGATTAGGGAATATATAAATAACTAATAAGCTCCTTGTCAATCATTTTCGTAAGCTACTGAGTTGCAAAATTTATTAGCCCACTAATAATTTTGAAAATTATTTTAGGTGTAACAGTGCAAAAATACCTTTAGCAAATGTTATGATTACCATGTGAATGATATGTGCGCTATTTTCTACTAAAAATCATACGATCCCACATTTTTTCTTAAGGAAAAGTGGAAAACTATTCCTACTTTAAATAAAAGGACATAAACAAAGAGCGCAATATTGATTTCACATTGAATTTGAAGGGGTCAATTCTAGAAAATTATCTTTTTCTTTCTTTTTATTTCAATTTTTTTCATAATTTTTATTTCAACATATGAATGATTAGATTGATTAAAATTTGGTTAACAAACTTAAATTATTTAATCTCAAAAACGTATATGCATGCCTAAGACAATATCTGGCTCTTTTTTTTTTTTTTGGGCAAGTTTAATGGTTTGTGCTTTTGATTTGTAAAAATAAAAAGGTCCAAAATATCCAAGCTTTTCCAATCAAAATAATTATTACCATATTTTCTTAATTACTCTTGACCACTTTTGTTTTATTTTTGCCTTTTACTTTTTAAGAACAAAGATAAACTGTTATCAATCATTGCAAATTAAGGAGAAAGATAGGCCAAACGAGTATTAAGAGAGATTGAAAATTAAGTTATGTAGAAAAATAAATCATCAACAACTTATCACATCAGTAGATTCTCCCTTTCTTATTATTCTCTTTCCTCTCTCTCAAATTCTCAAAGCTCCAATCCCTTCTCATCCCGCAGCTTCTAACCAACCTCGGTTCTGCAGTTCCTTCGCAGGCAAGGGCTCCGGTATTGTGCAGCCGCCGATGACCTAATTTCTTCCCCTCCTTCCGTGCCACCGCCATCGATTCACTCGTTGTTTCATCATCATTGGATGGTGGTTGCCCTAAATTCCCTGACCAGCTTTTTTGATGAACCTCCAGACGAAAAAGCCTCTTGTAAGAGTACATTTCCGCGCCATAATCCCTTTCGCAATTCGAGTTTGTCCTCTCCAGAACTTGGCAAGTAAGGCAACTTAGGCTCATTATGGCTTAGTTATTGTCTTCTTACGTATATTTCAAGAACACTTATCGCCTCAAAAAATAAATTATTAAAACCCTAATTAGGGTTGGCAGAAATTAAGAAGAATATTATTGGAGGGTTTGGAGTGTAATGGCTTTCATTACAGTACAGTCCTTATAAAGAGAAAGGGAGAGGAGATCAGAAGAAAAGAAGAGGGATTGAAATATACAACGGGGGAGGGTAGTTTTTCTTTTCGTTTTTTTTTTTAGATATTTATAGAAATAACAGCTAATTTAAATTTTGTTAATGTGGATTATGGAAAATAATTGCCGTGAACTCAGCTTAACCACTTCTCATTTGGACTTTTAACCGCTAATCCCATTAACCTATGACCATTTATCTGTCATCATGACCAAATTAAGCACCATGGTACGGCATGGATATATACACATATATATTGCATACATATATTGGATATACAGAACATTGTTAGTAACAATAACAGCTCAATCCACTCGAAATCGAAACTTCAGGTCTCTAGTGAAATCCTTAGAAACAATTCTTGTTAAATAATAATAATAATAATAATAAAACATCATGAGAAATTACATAATTCCCTGATCCGAAGTTATCCACGCGGACTACACCCTCGACATTATTAACAGCTAGCTCTGGGAGTCCAAATTACATTTTAAAACGAACCAATTAACGTACGTTTTCCAAAATCTAGATATCCGACATGCTTGGTAGACGGTATTAAAGGATTGCATTATATTACTTGACATTAATATAATGTTTGGTATTATCATTAATTATATTGAATATAAGATCATGTAAATAGTAAATCAATTCAACATGTCCTATTCTCTATACAATTTTCAATGTATTGCGTTGTTTTGCTTTATTTTGTTTTTCATTTACGTTCATCATTTTTTTTTTTTTTTTTACTTTTATATCTCTCTAGGTTGGGGTTGGGGATAGGGTCAAGCTGGAGACGAAAATGAGAATGAACAGGATCAGTGTCGATGTCGAGTTGGGACCAAGCCAAGATCACTTTGAGATCAAGATTGAGTTGGGCCCGGATTGAAATCAGGGGATCAAGCTAGGCGGGGATGAAAGTCGGCCATGGTTTTTGTCATGACCAACGAGGAGTCAGGTAAGGCTCATGATGGACGAGGTTGGGTCTAGTTTTAGACGGGCCTAGGGTTGGAGTCAGAATTGAGCCGATATTGAGATTAGAGTCGGGACCAAGCAAGGATTAAGGTCAAGTTGGGGCAAGGATCAAGGTGAAGTTGGGCATATGGTCAAGGTCAGACTGGGCTTATCCTAGGGCTAGGTAGGGTCAAGTCGGGATTGAGGAGTTGAAACTGAGGTTACGGTTTAGAGCCAAGTTAGGCTCGAGTTCAGAGTGGGGTTAGGATCAAGCCACGCTTGGACTTGGGCTGGGACCAGATCGCGTCAAGATTGAGCCAAGCTGATCATTAAGATCGAAACCAAGGCCTAAATTCATTGTAATTTTTTGTTATCTTAGAATAACACTAGGGAATTTTGGGATTTAACGACCGTTAATAACCGTCAGTAAAAGATTAGACAATAGTTAGGAGAACCTTCGTCTAATCACAAATCGTTCAATGTATGTATGATATAATGACAGTTTTTATTCATCGTTAAATAAAACATTAGACGGCAATTTATAATTAAAACCGTCGTCTAAGATATTTCCAAAATGTCAAATTTAGCGGTTACAGAGTACATTAGACGACAATTTCTTCAGAAACCGAAACCATCATTAAAAATGAGTATATAACGATGGGTTTTTTAGGAAACCGTCGTTATATGTGGAATATGCACCAAAAAATTGCTACTAATTCATTTCTTGTCCCACGGATTGACCTATTAATTCTGTATGTTATCAACATTTTAGTCACATTTAACACAACTCATATAACATCAAAAATATCACAAATATAACACAAACATATATTACATTTTCAGTACTTCTAAGTGTGTATCGTGCGCATAGTTCATGTAAAAGATTATTGAATAACTCATATATTCCAGCATTCAGCATATTCTACTACCCATCAGATGTTTAGTAGCTCACATTACATAAAATAAAACCAAACACCTAAACCTTTAAACTCCAGAAATAATGAGAACTCCACTTAACTTTCTGCAGGTTGTTTTCAAGTCTTAATCTCCTATGAATGCTAAAAGTACTTTCACTACAAAGATACAGATTCCTAGAGCCACTCAACTAGTCAATCTAAGCACATCTGGTTATTATTAGAACTAACACGAACAATTGTATCAACGAAATACCAAAAGATCAGAGGAATTAGGATCCAAACCTATCTCTGTGCACCTTAAAGTAGCGAAGGCACCGATTATCATACATTGAAAGATACAGGAGTGATTCTGCAGAACATAAACAGTAACTTAAGATCAATTTCCTCATGCAGATAGTGAAATCATAAAATTGTCAAAAACAAAGAAGAAACTAACCACCACTAGAATCCAAATTATATCTCGAAGAACATATAACAGAACTCGGATGATGGATAAAGCATATTCGATCAGCTCCATGTTTCTTATGATTTGTGGTCTTAAGCAACCTTAATTCATAAACATGAATACAAGTAAGTATTCCTCAAAGCTATAATTAAAACCAAATTTATAATTTAAAAAAGAAAAACCTAAAATTGAACAACAATTTCTAAACTCACTTAGCATTTGCAATGTCATAGAGCCGCACTGAATCATCCTCACTAGCAGTGACTAGTATATCATCCTTACGATGAAAATCAATAGAATTTATTTCTCCACCTTAAAAATAGAATCAGAACTAAGTTTCAAAAATCCAAAAAAAAAATGGCGTGAACTATGATATTTACAGAACAATTAACATCACCACAGTAAAACCATAATCATAATCCCTCAGTCAATTAACACCTACAGTTGGGGAATTATGAAAATGTTAAAACATGCCTTTAGATGCCTTGTTCGGAAGTTGTTGATGGATGAAAGAGGGCAGAATGACGCCAACGGTGGCGGAGGAGAAATTTTCCAACTTCGCACGGACTTCGACGGTGGAAATGCACGGTGGCTGAAATGAGAGAGAGGAGGTCGACGGAGCAAAAGAGAGAGGCAGAAGGTTGGGTAGAGAACGAGGAGGCGGAATGGGGTGGGTTTAGAGTTGTCAAACGTGCCGTGCTGGGCCGGCACGGCACGCTTGACCCCAGGCCCATCACGGGCTTGGGCCGTGCCAGGCACGGCCCTGCACAGTGCAGGGCCGTGCCTGGGCCTGAGAAGAAAAACTTAGGCCCAGTCCAGACCCTGGCCCTAGTCCATAAGGGCCAGGGCCGGGCCTGGGCCCAGGCCCTTCACGGGCCGGCCCCGGCCCTTGTTTTTTTTTAATTTATTTAAAAAAAATATCAAATGCCCCAAAAGATGTGATTTTATTGAATTGACGTAATAAGAGTACACGTAAATGACTGCCTCGTTAAAAACCTTGCTAAGTAAAACCCGTGGGGAGATCGGGACAAAACCTTAGCGAAGGAAAAAAGAGTGCAGTAGCTAGGAATAGTAAATTACAAACCTAAGTGCTTCCAGAAGATTCTGTTATTTCTAAGTTAGAAAAATATTCTTGCATCGAATCATCTGTGTATTGTTGTTTTCGTCTTCTGGCATCTTCCCAGTCTTTAACGCACATTAGTCCCTCCAAGATATCTGGATGCATTCTGCTTCTCTTCTCGTCAAGAATTCGGTTGCTTGCGCTAAAAGCTTGCTCCGATGCTACCGTTGACACTGGAGTTGTCAGAATGTCACGAGCTATTAT